CGGCCGGCCGGCGCAAGGGGGGGCTCCTGGGGTCCAGCCTGTCCCCTGCCTCTGGCCCGCCTCCTCGCCTCCTGACCTTCGCTGCCCTTCCTCCAGCTGAGGCTCCTGCATCTGCAAGAACCTGCTTTCACTTCCTCTTGTTTCTGCTCTAACCCCCCTTCTAATCACCCTCCTTCCCGCCCCGCGCTGGGCGCATGCTGCATCCGTGGTCGCTTTTACGCGACCACTGGCTGTCCTTCCTGGAGGGAAAGCCACACCCCCTCTGCCAGACAGGCCCACCCCCACCCCTTTTTAGAGCGTCCTTGCCTTTTTGATCTCGCTGGAAGGCCCCCCCCCCAGATTTCACGCTCAAAGACAGAGCTGATGGGCGCCCAGCTTTGCAGCGCCAAAGAAGGCCGCCGCTCGCTGGACATCTCGCGGGGCACTGGGGGCCCGTTTGTCAAAGGAGATCCCTTCATAGGCGACGGGTATAGAATCCCCTTGAGAAGTTCGGTTGGATAGAAAGGGGTATTATATTATAAAGGGCTGCCGTTCAAACCCATCAGTTGCTTCCTGGGTGAAAGACAAGGCTGCTCCCTTAAAGATTTGCAGCCCTGGCCGTGAGTCAAAATCCACTCGTGAGCAGCGAGTTTGGGGTTGCCTGTAGCCTTCTTACAGCACGTGTCCAGAGGACTGAGATTCGAGGACATGCCCAGCCATGCCCCTACCCACAGTTAGTGATGGGATCAGACGTGCTCGTGAGAGGTCTGGGGGTACAGTGTGTCTGGATGAGGATTTGTAGATTTCCTTTCTTCCAAAGAAATCGGGCTCCCTTCAATCTGGCCTCTGGCAAAAATAGCATAGTGTCACCTCATAAATGTAAGGCTAAAGCCATACCATATCACCAAATTTTTAATAGTCCTTATCAAGCACGGTGATCAATCTTGACTGTTCCCAGGCTCGAGCCAAAATACAAGGGGAGACGCTAAATACTCTTTTAGCTGTTGTAAAACAGAAAGATGCTTGAGTGGATGAACCAGTCCCAGGGGACCAGGATCCCGGATGTGCCCAGACCCTCAAACAGGTCTCACCTGCAAGCAGGTGTCATCAGCAGTCCGGGTGAGGGACTAAGCAGAGGCTGGACTGTGACAGTACTGTGCTGTAACTGTAACCGCATTCAGGACAGCAAACTGCGTCGCGGTTATCCTTACTGCTGTGATACCGGAAGCCAGCGGCGCTCCGTTCGTGACTGGGGATCTCGGGGCTCTTTCCCCGCGGTGTGTGTAGCGATGAGTTTCTATAGTTTAAACACCGCCGTGGATCTTGCCCTGTTGGAGCCCAGCTCCTCAGATTAGGGAAGGCCTCCCTGGTCCCATTTTACAGATGCAGAAACGCAGGTTCAGAGTGGTTGAGTGAGTTGCCCAAGAGTCCACGACTCATAATGTTCAACTGAGATTCAAGGCCAAACCCACGGCCGTCAAGTTAACAATGACCCTATCTGGAGTTTGAGGTTGCCCACTGCTGCCCGCCTCCGCCATGTTGGTTATGACCCCACGTAGGGCCCACCGGCTGTCAGTCTTCATGGGAGCAGACGGCCATGGACTGGTGGGTGAGTTAGGACTGCCTCCGTTGCAGTAAGCAGCCGAACGCTACCCCGAAATTCTTCCACCAGAATTTCCTCTCACTGCCATCGCGCCAGCCTGCTCACTCCTGGCCACCCCTGCGGGTTTCCAAGACTGACTGTTGACAAGAGTAGAAAGCCCAGTCTTTCTCCCGCGGAGCTGCGGGTGGTTTAAAACTGCCCACCATGCGGGATCACAGCCTGACGTGTAACCACGACACCAGCAGGCCTCCTAATCCAGAATGAGGAAACCCTGGTAGTTTGCTGCCTCCCGTCTTCTTAAAAAAATTTTTTTGGGGCTTGAGAACCACATAGCAAAACAGATCAGTTTGACTGTGTACATTTTCCCACTTGTTCAACCATTTCCACCTCCCTTTTCTGCATCGTTGCTTCCTTGTTAACAAGACTTGCCTCCCTCTAAGGTTCCTGCTTCCCAGTGGCTGGCGTCCATTTGATCTCGTATAGATAGGTCCTTTCTAGAAGCATGATGCTCAAGGCACACCCTTTTTAACTCCAAACCCAGACACTGATCGCACTGCCACCAAATCGAAGCAGACTCATAGCAACCCTATAGGGACCCTAGTTAAGCTAATTCAGCTATTGCTCAGTTTACCATGGCTTCAAGGGTCATTGGGGATTAAAGTTTCAAGATCATCTCTGGGCCATTGTTTCTGGGCTTTGATCCAGCCTCTATGGCTCTAGAGAGCCTGGTCCATGAGAATTTGAAATTCTGCTCCTCACTGGCCCCCTATGGATCAGGGTTCTTATGTTCTTCCATCAAAGTGCTCAGTCGTGGTAGCCGGCGCCGTCCAGTTCTGGTCTCCTGCCCAAGGAGGCCCTTAGCCACACAGTCCACATCCTCCTCCTGTTCCTGCATCCCTTCCCCTGAGAGGAGCCCTGGTGGTGGAGTGGTTATGCCTTGGACTGGACGGAGACCACCAGCCACCATACAGGAAAAAGACCGGCGTCTGGGAAACTCACAGGCGTGGTTCCACCCTGCTCTGTGCGGTCACTGGGAGCCCGCGACCACTCGATGGCAGTGAGCTTGTTTGGGTGTCTGTGCCCCGGCGCCTGCAAGGTGAAAGCGCTCGCTTCCATGGCGTCTTTACGATGGGCCAGTCAGGTTTGGCTTCCCCGGGTCTTGAGCAGGATCCCCATTTTTGTCTTCCTTTTCCTCAACCCCCATTTTAATTTCCTTTGTGTTTCTCTCTTGGCCTCAGTGAAATTACTGCCGGTGGACTGTGAGAGGGAGACAACGGGTGAGGTGAGTCCGGCTTCCTCCAGCCTTTCTCCCCCCTCCCACACGTGCGGGACCACGCCAGGACAAAGGGGGAGCGCAGTAGGATCATTTTCAGGGAGAGCGGCCCAGATGCGCCAGGATTGCCCGTGTTCTACAGTGCTTATGCTGGGCTCCATTGAGCCGGTAAAGGAGTCCTTGAAACGGAGAGTGAGGCACCCAAGATCCAACCCTGAGCTTATTAGGGAAGTACCCCCCCTCCCCCATCACTCGTAGCATCGGGGACTTTGATCTTCCACCTGAGTCGATGTAGGGGGGTGCATGCGGGAGGTCCCTGCTAAGAGACCGCTCAGATGTCTTGGATTGAAGAGGAAGGGCTGGCCGTTCTTAAGCATCTCTGCCAGGTTTTCAACTCCACAGCCTCCTCTCCAGAGCCTGGCAGTACATCTTTGGCTCTGCGAACACTGTACTGATTTGAAGCATCGTGGGGAGGGGAGGGCACACGCCGACAAGAGGGTTGTAAAACACATCTTACGTGGAATTAGCCCGCCTCGCCTATGCTTTGGTTTGTTTTATGAAGTGCTAATGTGCCCTACAAATAATATTTTGGGAAGGCGAGCAGCCCCAGCCATTTGAGAGTCATGAAAGCAGCATTCGCAGGGAGATGGGATGCTGGGTACCCGGCGATCATCTGGGCAAGATACGAGGCAGTAAACTTCAGGTCATAAATCCTGCCAGGAGGAGATGGTGCTGCCAGGGGCCATGACTTAGTCGTCTCATTAAGTACACCGTGCCAGCACCACCCCGTCGTCCCCCAAGCCCGGAGCTCACGTGGCTGGCTACCTGGAAAGAAAGGTCATGTGGTTGTGGGGCCCCTGGGGGGTCTGAGACACCCCCCCCCCCCAAGTTAATGCAGGGGCTTTTCTGTGCTGCCGACAGCTTTTTATCTGATGTGCAGATTCAGGGGGTGTTGTATCTCGCTCCCTTACTGCACTCACCCTCCAGATAGCTTTGCTTGCCCATTGTTTTGTAGAAACAGATTCATACTGAATTTAATCTGCCCTTCATCAGAGGGGGAATAAATCTGAAAACCCAGTTGATGATTAGACCAAGCGGCCCAGAAACACCGGCAGCCAGAGAAGCAACTGGAATTTTGACAGCTGGAAGCAGAAACGATGCGAAGAGAATGGTTTTTTTCTTTCTGCAAGACGTCTGCGGCGCTGTTACTACCGCTCGGCTTTTCATGGCAAAGGGGCCCCTGGTTCTGTTCTGTTCTTCTGGTCCCTCGTGTCTCAATCCGTCACCCCCACAGGGTGATAGATCTTCTCCCGGCCCTCCTCTGAGCTGCTCTCCCACAGGCAGGAAGCCAGGCAGGCAGGTGCTCCCTGGGGCTGCGCTCTGGGGCCCAGGTTTAACAGAGGCTCCACCTGGGGCATCTTGGTCTCTGGGCCCAGTGACTGCAGGCAGCCTTGGAGCTCTGAGTCCGCGGGAGCCCCCAGCGTTCGTGTGCAGGTCTGGAAGTGTTTCTGAGGGCCGTGCTGAACAACCCTCTCATTCCCTCTGTGGCTGCCCCAGCAGGCAGAGGGTTTCCCGATGTGAGTCCCCCATGGCTGTGGCACTTGCTGTATGTGCTCTGCCATGGTGCCCCCAGAGGAGGCTGTGCTGGCTGGCCCCACCGGGCCGGCTCACTGGGGGGGACCTGCCTGCACCCGGCTGCCTCAGTGTCCGTATGTTGGCAGCAGTGTTAGCTGTTATGGCTCCCCCACCCCCGGTTGTGACAGTAACAGGTGTGTACTGTAAACAATTCGAAAACTCTGGCAAAGGAAAGAAAAGGCATCCCTGACTACCACGTCTAGGTAATCACCATTAACCTCGGGGACCTTTCCCTGCCAGCCTGTCTTCTGCATTACGGATGTCTCTAAAATTGAGATCTATTTTAGGTTCTGCTACACTTAGCATTTACTAGCAGCATTTCCCGTGTCATTGAGGCATCGCTAACAGACGGTTTGCGTCTCTTGCCTCCACTGTGAGGCCTGTTCCCGGAGGTCTGTTGTAGAGTGGTGTCTAGAAGCAGTGTACCGGGTCAAGGGCCTCGGGTCTCATGGCAACAGGTGAGGACACATCTTGGCCATCAAGAGGCCATTAGAAGCCAAGGCCCTCCCTTTACAGGTGAGAGTGGCAAGTGAGACCCAGGAGGAAAGGGACTTTGCTACCAGCCCGTCAGCAGAGCTGGTCCGGCGCCCAGGCCCCCTCCGGCATGTGTGGGATGGGCTTGCAGTCAGACTGGTGAATCTGGCCTAACCAGAGCCCCTCAGCCTTGCGTGCTCCTCTGAGACACAGAGTTGCCACGGGACTGTGGTGAGGATTCCACGCCCAGTAGCATCTGAACATCATCCGCTCCAGGACCAACAGCCCTCCTGTGTGCAGTATGTCCTCCGCCCAGCAGCACACACCGATTCCGTGGCTCCCCTACCTACCGCTGAGCCACACTGGTGACAGTCCTGGACTTGTGTGGCCATCCTCACCCTCGGCTCCTCCCCGTGAGCGTGAACTATGGTCCCTCAGGTTCCCTCCAGTCTTTCCATTGGTCCCGTATAGATGCTTCTTAAAAAAGCACTTGCTCAAGACAGCCGATTTTCACGAGTGAAGGTGAAATGTTCAGGTTTTAAAAGTCTCCAAGGGATACTATTGGCGCAAGGTTAAACAGACTAACTGGAGGCAATAGTTCCAGGGATTCAGGGCCACCTCCCCGACTCCAGAAAGTCTAGAGTCCAGGGGAATTTGAAATTCTGGTCTGCATTTCCCCCGTTTGAGCAGGAGCAGGATTCTTCTGTGGAATCTGATCAAACCATTCATTCATTGACGGTAGCTGGTCCCATGGCAGAGTAGGCAGTGAGCCACACTTCGCACACCCCCTTCCTGCCCTTGACTCCCGACCTCTGAGAGCAACGCTCTCGTGGTGTTCTACAACGGGGGAACTGATAGCAATTCTGCTACAGGTGCTGGGGGCGTAGGTCTGCATAGATGCATCCCCCCCACACAGTTTCCGGTTTCTAGGAATGTCCTATCTCTGTGGAGGTTAGTCTGAGGTTAAACAGTCGGCCCCCTCTCCCCCAGTGGACAGAGAGGGCCGTCCTGGCCGCTCCCAGCTCCCAGCTCCAACAGCACACACTCTCCCTCCCAGGAAGTTGGGCTCCCGCACCACCCCACGGCCCCCCTTTTATCAAGGGGGGCAGACCAGGGAAGCTGCGGGCGGCTACTCCTTGTTTCATTGTGCACGCTCAGCTCTGCCTCCATGGTTACAAGGTGCCCTTTCAGTCCGTTCACCCTCGGCCCAGCACTTGGTTGAATGGATTTCGGTTTCTTTTCCGAGAATGAGATGTTCTTTGTGTCCTCATCCTGGGGAGGCAGACCCTGCCGCCCGCGCCCTTCTGACCTCTTGTCCCGTGCCTTTCAGTTCTGCCAGGCCCAGCAGAAGGCGGCCTTGCTGGAGCAGCTGCATGAGCTGTACAACTTCCTGGCCATCCAAGCCGGTGAGTAGCTCGGCCGGTGCCCCGGGGGGCTGAGGGTTGCGGCCCCGCCGGCCAGGCTGGGAGGCTTCTGTGGCCCTCTCCCCAAAGACAAGCCCAGAAACTGGCCCTCGCCTTCCCTGCTTTTTCTGCCCAGATACCTCCGTGTTTCTCCAAGCTCAGCCTCACTGAGCCCCGGGGCTGCTGTGTGCACACCAAGCTGCAGCGAGGGGCTCCCCGTGCGGGCATTGGAAGGGGCTACACCTTCTCAGACTCTGTGTCCTTAGACCAGGTGCCTGCTTGGGTCAGTCGGCCCAAGCAGGTAAAGAGACCCGGGCAGGTAGCAGGCAGCCTGCATGGTGTCTAGCCTGCCAGGGCCCTGGTGCCACTAGGGGCAGGGTTCTTTGCCTGAGCGCTGCCCTGGCCAGTGTCCACCCAACAGGCCACACTGCCCTGGTCTTCCCTGGCTGCTGATCCTGATGGCCCCCCTCTGGCCATGGCCCCTCAGACGAGTCCCTGTTCCTCTCGGGGCCCCGTGCTCCCCAGCGGACAAGTGGAGCCAGTGAGCTTGGGCCCGTTTGTCTGTAAAGCCACGGCAGACGCTGTGCCCCAGGAGAGGGTGTTCTCAAGCCCCTTCCATCAGGGACACCCCGGAAACAGATGGCCACTGCCTGATTTGGTCTCCCCGACACCTGCGTCAAGGCAGCTACTCGAGAGCCCAGGGCTCAAGCCTCATTGGAGTTGGATTTGATTGGCACGTGAGCCAGCCAGCGGCTCAGGACTGACTGACGGGTGTTTCCGGTGGGCGACAGCTCAGGCAGGGCTGGTTTAAGGCGGTTGCCGGGAAGACAGGGTCGGGCGGCTCCTCGGTCTTTGGTTAGTTTCTGGGGCACCATCTGTGTGCCTCCCGCTCCTGACTTTCGGGAGACTAATAGACGGGGCGCCTCCATGGAGGGCCGGGGGGAGAGGTAGAAGGCCACGCTGCTGCTCAAGGCAACACGGTGGTCCTCGCGGGGGTTCCTCTCACTGCGTAAATTCTTGCCTGAAAGGGTGACCCTCACCTTTGCTGCTCGGAGGAGCGTAGCCCAAGGCCCAGCAGTGTCGGCCCCACCCGGGAGGGTATAGGACATTCGGAATCTGGGGCCTCCCCCCCAGCCTGTTAGACGCTACATTTTCACAAGAACCCCAGGGGATTCCTAAAGTTTGCAAAGCGTCCCAGTAGACATTTCTCCTCCCTCTCCGTATGTGCGCCTGGCTTGTGCCATCTAACGGCCTGGCAAGGGGAGCCCTGTGGCAGTGGACTTCACAGAAATAGGCCCACGGGGTGGGAGCCCCCACTCTTCCCCATGTCAGAGGCCAGCTGTGGGCAGGGCACTGTGCTGGCCCCCAGGGGACAGGAGGTAGCCCACTCAGAGGGCCTTGCCACAGACTGCTGTGTCTCTAGCAGAAGACTCTGGGCAGATGCAATGGCATAAGAATGGAGGCCAGACACATCGCGCGCCATCAGAATGCGCCACTAGTCTCTGTCCCTCCCACTTCTCTTCCCCTGTGAGCAGCACGGAAAGCTAGCCCTGTCGGATCCACTCGGACTCCCAGCAGCCCCGGGTTGCAATTGAACCGTAACGTATGCACGTAGTGATACATGTGAACCATACAAGAGTTCCGTGGAAAGCCAGCCGCCACTGCAGCTCAGAGCCTCGTCCCTGTTCCCAAAGGAAACCGTGTATGTCGTCTCAGAAACACTTATTAGAGCACTGCAGACGGTGCTCAGGACATAGAGCCATTTTATCTTAACCAGATACTCAAGTTTACACGGAACCGTAAGAAAGATGGCCTGTGTCTAAGTGCAGGGCTTGCAGTAGGAGAAGAGTGGCCATCACAGATACCCAAGTAGAAGGGCCTCCCTGCCGTGCACAGCGCCACCCTCAGACCATGGCAACAGTCACTCTCCCAGAAGATGCATTTATTCAGTTTTGGAACGTAGGTTAGATAGCTAAGAAGGCTCACCGACTCATGTCTTTAGCACTTGCAGTGTCTTAAGTATATGACTGCAAATAAAGTTCCAAAACCATGATGCATGCTGCAAACATGAATCAGTTCTGATTACTAGCTTGTCATTATCTAGCCTCGTATGTCTGATTAGAATTGTGGGAAACTGAGGCGCAGAGAGAGTGAGGAACTGCACAAAGTGGCACAGCCCGGAAGTTTGCATTTGGGGGATGAACTCAAGTCTGCCGACTCCCAAGTCTGTCATTACTGCCAATTCTTTTACTGCTTCCAGTAGGCACCGAGCGTGAGCCCGGTGGCAGAGTGGCCGACGAGTTGGGCTGCTGACCACAAGGTCAGATGTTCAAAACCAGCAGCCGCTCCTCAGGAGGAAGATGCGGCCAGCTGTTCCTGTAAAGATGCAAGGCCTCAGAAGCCCCAGGGGGCCAGTTCCACCCTGTCCTGTAGGGTCACTCCTTAGAGAATCGTGATGGCAGTGGGGGCGCGTGCACTGAAGGCAGGAGTCATAGCTACAGAAGGTTCAAAGCATGCTCACGATTCAGAGTTGTTTCAACAACGGGTCATCTACGAAGGAGAAGTTCGCTTAGGGACTGTCTGAGTTATCTGGTGCTCTTACTGAGCCCCACACTCCGGGACGTGAACAAACTGAAGCGTGTTTTCTCGTTTGGAGGCAGCCCCCACTCAGCGACCCTGTGGGTTTCTGAGACCAGCTTCGACTCTTGACAGGAGTGGAAAGCCGCATCTTTCTCCACTGGTGGTTTGGAACCGCTGACCTTGTGGTTAGTGGTCCCACCCGTAGCCCACTACACCACCAGGGCTCAGTCAGGAGCTAGAGGTGCGAGCTCAGGGGAAGGCTTTCTTTCCATCGGCCCCTTGACTCTGGGCTACTCCTGGATAGACCTCCCTCTCCCCCATCTCTGCTTTCTAAAGAGATCAACTCATGACACACCCTCCCCCAATCCTGCCTTAATCACAGCCCATTCCTGCAGGCACAGGAGCTAGGATTTACAGCCCATCTGTGGGCGGAATACAAACTCAAACTCTAACATTCCATTCTTTGGTCCGGAAAACCCCATGCCCTTGTCACCTGTAAAACACACTCACCCCAGCACATCCTCCTCAAAGTCTTCAATCTCGCCCAAGTTCAGAGTCTTATCTTCTCGGTCATGTGAGTCGATCGTGGGTGAGACTTTAAGGATGGCAACTGCTCTCTCCACTGTGGGTGACTCCTGAGCTGTGCCCTACCTCTCAAGCCCAGCAGACCCCATCCTTCTTACCCCTGGGCATGGCACCGGCCCCTGGCACTCTCCAACTGCAGTTGGTGAAGATCCATCTTTCTTTGCAAACTAAGAGGCTGTGACCCAGCCCCTTATGACCCAGCATCCCGGTTCCACCCTTTGAAATCCAGAAAGCCCGTCCAGCAGTGCTGCGGGTCTCCACACGGTTTCCAGGACGGAGGTTTTCTCCTCCTCGTGGAGGAACAAGGACCGCAGTCCCTTGGTCTGGTTTCCACCTGTAGAATTTCCAGAGACCGGCGGTGGTGTTTCCGCTCGCTCCTTCTCCGCTGGTGGTGTTTCCTCTCGCTCTTTCTCCACCCAACCCTCTCCGTCCGAGCTGTTGGGTTTTCTGCTGTGGTAGCTGGTCAGATCCGGCAGTCATGGGCTTAACGGTGAGCCCTGGCCTTGAGCATTCTAGGACACATGTCCTCAGTGTGTACAACAGACACGCCCAGCGCTTGAGTTCTGTTTTTATTCTGTGTGGTTTGTTTTAAAACTCTTTCCTCTTATGTTTCCCTCTTAGTGACAAGGAGAAACCACACAGCCCTTTTAAGACCTTGTTTAGAAATCTTATCAGCTAGGTAGCTATGTCCATCATTTGCAAAGTTCTGCCTTCCACAAAGCACTTGACCTTGCTTCTGACAAGCCCTTTGCCCCGGCATTGAAGCACCGTCACCCTTCCTCCAGTGCCCAATCACCAGAAGCTCCTTTCACGCCCCCACTGCTGTGGACATTGTGCTGCCGGCCCCCTGGGCATTGTCCACGATGACCGAGACCTTCCCACTAGCTCTCCTCTCCTCTTCCTGACCCCTCCCCAGAAGTGCCTTAGTCGCCCATCACTCGACCGACAAACAAGTCTGCTGGGAGAGTTCCGGGCGTTCACTCTCAGGCACCTTAAGGCTCTGCTAGCCCAGTCCCCAATCCACCCACATTCTAGGGATCTGTTAGAGATCTCCCCATTCTCACGGGACCAGAGTCTGCCTCACACATCCGGTGCTGCTAGAACAGAAATCCCACAAACGGATGGCTTCGATAAAAAATGTGTTTTCCCCACACAAAAAAAGTATTTTCTCACAGACGAGGCCAGAAGTTTGAATTCAGAGCACCAGTTCCAGGGGAAGGCTTTCTGTCTCGGGGCCTGTGGAGGGCGGTCCTTGTCTCATCAGCTTCTTTCCTGGTCCCTTGGAGATCCCCACGTGCCTTGGCATCTATTGCACCCATCTCTGCATCTCCCCATCGCTTGCTTAATCTCGTTTATGTCTGAAAAAACACTGACTCAAGACACCCTACACTACTCCTGCCCCGTTTACATAACAACGATAGCCCATTCTCAAATGGGATTATAACCACAGGCATAGATGTTTGAACTTATAACACATATTTTGGGAAGACACAGTTTATTCCAGAAGAGCTAACCCCAGCGTGCTGGGCACCCCATTCTGCTGCCAGCTGACTGTCTCTGCTTCTGACCCTCTCTGGCACTGTAGCTTACTTGGTACTCCCCACCCCGCTTCTGTCTCTTGAGTCTAGGAGGTTCCCAGTGCAGAAACCCCGGATCTGAAGGGTGTGCGTCACCCTGACCCCTCGTGGCAATATCGACGTCCTCTCTCCACATTTGGGATGGCTCGTTTCAAACGACTGGGAGGGCAGAACGGCCACTCCCTCATCAGGGTTCCATCCACCTGTGTGCAGTCTCCAGCTGGCCTAGCCCCTTGGCGAGCTGCAGACACCTCGTTTGCATCTCCTAGCTGAGCAGTCGATGGGAGCTATACCACCATGGGAGAGAAGGCCGTTACAGCCGCCCACACACTGCCACGGCCCCTTCCCCATGGGTCACACCCACGGGCATCGGGGAGCACCTTCCAGTCCCTAACAGGGACAAACTGGAAGTCTCACATGAGGCTCCTCCAAACGAAATGTTCCCCAGATTGGTTTCCTCATGGATTGACTTCTATGGGATTAAAGAGTCCTAATCCGAGCATGACAGCATTTCCTGCCGTTCCCAGTCTTCCTCACCTGGGGCCAGGGTATGAACCTGTGTGAATGAGGTTAAACAAGAAACACAACTCCCTGCCATCGAGTCACTGCAGGCTGGTGGCAACCCCATAGAGCACAGTAGAACTGCCCCTGTGGGTTTCTGAGACTAACTGCTTACGGAAGTAAAGTCTCATTTCTTATCCCTCAGAGGGCCTGGTGGTTTTGAACTGCTGACCTTTCAAGGAGCTCAATGCATCACCCACCACACAACTGCTGCTGCCACTGAGAGGGTCAGTGCGTAACGGTCGCAGACTCGGGCTGACCGATGCAGAGCCCTGGTGGTGGTGTGATCACAAGCGGGCTGCGACGGAAGCCACAGCGGCTCCTCCGGAGAAAGACTGGGCTTTCCGGCCCCGTGGAAACCAGAGGGGCTTCGATGGCAGTGAGTGATGCTTCCCAGGGATGTGTGTGGCACCAACAGAACCAGCGTGAGGATGGCACGGGACCTGGTGGTTCCTTCTGCTGCCCGCTGGTCACTGTGAGTTGGAACGGACCCTACCAGGTTTACCCAGCGACGGCTGCGTGTGGTCAGGGAGAGGAAATAGACCTTGTTACGTGCGCGCTCCGTGCAGTTGCGCTGTTCACAGCCAGCAGCACCACCCCAAACGTTTCCTCTGCCTCGAGCAAAAAGTCTGTCTGTATCCATTAAGCAATCTCTCCTGCCCCTCCCTCTCCTCCTTCACCCGCTCCCCAGGGATTACAGCCTGGGGACCTGATGGAGCCGTGCTGTTCTGTGCCTCTTTTCATTCAGCATAGTGGCTCTGCCCGTCGAAGCAAGTACCAGACCTCCTGTCTCCTTATGGTTGAGTCACGTTCCGTTGCGCGCGCGCGCACACACACACACACACACACAGCTTATCTGTTCATCTGCTGGTGGACATAAGTGCTTCCAGGCCTCAGCTATTGTGAACGGTGCTGCCAGGAACATTGGTATGCAGCCTTCTTTGCCAGAGTGGGCACTACTTCCCCTGGGGGTGCTGGAATAATCCAGGGGGGAGGGCGCCAAAGCCGGTGCCCATGCTTTATCTTGGATTATGGGCTGTCGGACAAAACGGGTTGATGGCCAGGGAGGACGCCATCGTGGTTTTCCTGAGAAGAGGGCGTTAAGCCGAATCGGTGTGGGAACCCGTGCTACAAGAGCATTCTGGTTCCATCCGGCCCTCCGGTCCTCAGAGCCCACAGACAGGCGGGAAAGCGCCAGGTTGTGTGGTGTGGTGATTCCGCAGTGAACCTCCGAGGGATGCCCTGTTTTCTTACATTCCCTCCAGCTCGGGAGGAGGGCTCCCATCCCGCCACCTCCTCGCCAACACTTGGCAGTGCCCATTTTGCTTTGTGTTTTCATAACCACCACCTAGTGGGTGCGAGGTGACTGCAGTCAGGAAAGGTCATGGGCCAGTGGCCTCTGATAACAGCCCTGATGACCAGAGAGCTTCTGTCTTGTGTGTGAGGAGCCCAGTGGAGGGATTGGGTCAGGCTTGGGAAGACAGAACGGTCAGTTGGGGACGGTTGGTTGGATGCCCCCATGGGCCGGGGCTGCTTCTGCAGGTAGTGATGGCCAGGGAGCTCGGGTGGGGACGTGGCATGCTGAGAGCTGTGTGGCAGGACAGTGGATGTGGCAAAGCAGCCGGACTGGCATGGGGGTCATCTAAGTAGAGCGATTTCAACGGAAGGGGCAGGGGGTGGGAGACTTGTCTGGGTGGGATGGGCAGTGTGGGGTCGGCTTGACGAGGATAAGGAACTCCAATTGGGTCTTGGGGACCCAGCAGGGCCAGGCCAACTTTGAAGGCGAAGGATTTGAGCATGAGAATTGGGGGATTCTGGTCATCAGCTACTTCCCACCCGACACACACACACACAGACCTCCCAGACTGCACAAGGCAAGGCCGCTCAATTGTGCCGCCCGTCTGGCTGTCCCCGGGGACACTCGGCACACGGCCAAGCCGAGAGCTGAAGCCAGCCACTGAGTCTGGGGCAGTCGGGACCAAGAAGAGGTCCCAGGGGCTGGGTGGCCCATAGGCTACACCCAAAAGACCTGGGCCAGGACAAGGGGGAGGCTCCCAGACACAGACGCCCCCCTTCCTTCCTTCATGGGGGCCACAATAGACATCCTCCCTGGGACCCCCAAAACAATGGACCTGCGTTCCAGGTCACCTGCCTCTGTCAGGAGTCCCCCTCCCCCGCGCGGCGCCCACAGCCCCTGCCTTCTTCCTCCCCGGCTCTGTTTATAGTGTCATTCCCGTACCTTCCCAGGCGGGCTGTCTGACCCTTTTAGGACTCAATTGCAAACAGACCTTGATATTGGGCAGCCTTTTAGTCGTTTAATGCAAATAGTCGCATGGCTTTGCAGGTCAGGTTTTAATGATCTGGAATCGATCCAAGCTAAGTGGTGTTTGATTTTGCCGCAGAGTGGAGAGGGCCCCCGAAGCCGGGGCGCTGCCGGCCACGGCTCCTTATTCGAGCTGAGGTTTGCTGCCCGTTCTCGGCCATTCCAGAGTGAAATGCCCTCTCTCCGCGTCTCTGTGTGCGTGTGCCCTAGGTAACTTCGAGTGTGGGAACCCCGAGAAGCTGAAGAGCAAGTGCATCCCTGTGTCCGAGGCGCAGGAGCACGTCCAGGTGAGCAGCTGCGGGCGGACCACGCCCACGCCCGGGACTTCCTGTGTGCTTTCCCTTCCTTTACCTGCCGCTTCCGTCACGCTTGCTTCTGGGCTTTGCTTTTGTTTGCTGTATAACCTAGTGGAGTGGTCAGTTACCTAAAGTTAAGGCGGGAGGGGGGGAAGGCGGAGTGGGGGGGCTGTACCGGGAGTGGGCTCCATCAGGGACTTGCTTTTGTGCTGCTCCCGGGCCCCATTCCCCTCCCTTCTTGCAGCTCTGAGAACAGACTCTTGGCCTGGCCGCCCTCCTGCCCTCACGATTACCGGGACCCCTGCTCCCCAGTCTTTCTGATTGGGGGGGGGGCGGTTAGAATTAAAGAAGGGAACAGAGGGCGGGGCTGGTTAATCATTCATGTCATAGATCGCGACCCCTCGGGGGTTGAACGACCCTTTCACAGGGGTCGCTCGATTTATAACAGTAGCAAAATTATCGTTATGAAGTAGCAACAAAAATGTTACGATGCACTGTATGAAAGGGCCGAGGTCAGGAAAGTTGGGAACCGCTGGGCTAGATGAAGAACTGGGGGCCCAGAGGGGGGGTGCTGCCCAGAGCACCCCGCCGGTCCCGGGGGAGCTCCATCTGCAGCCAGGCTCCCAGCCCCTGTCCAGTGCTGTTGGTCATTTTGTCCTCCAGCACATGGTCTTCTCAGCCACCGCCCCTGCCCTGCGCTGCGTCTGTCCGTGTGAGCTTCTTCACCCCCTCCCGCGTCCTGGGCTCTCCTCAGCTGCCTCCCCCTGCCAGCTTGGGGTGCATTTAGAGGCAGGAGGCTCTGGGCCTGTACAGGGCACCCAGGAGAAGCCTCCTTTCTCCAGCACCCACACACAGCTAACCTCGCCCTCCCCCCAGAATGTGACCGGCAGCTCCCGAGCCAAGTTCGAAGCGGCGCTGGCCTGGATCCTGAGCAGTAATAAGGATGTGGGCATCTGGTGAGTGCAGGCAGGCATCGTGTGAAGGGCGGGGTAGCAGTGGGCACCGGTGGACCACCCCTCCTTGACTGTCAGCTGCCGTCCTCTGGGCTCCATCCCAGGGGCCTCAGGTCCAGCCCGGGTCACCACGGTGGGCTGTGGGGAGGAGCAGATTCAAGCTGGGACACACAGCCAGGTGCTTGGACGTCCTCCACAGGCACCTGAGCCCTGTCTCAGCCGCTCAGCATACCCTGCCCTCAGGGCTCGGCTCATTTGTGGAGAAAGTGATTCTGTGTGTTGTTTTTGCTCAATGTGAAAATTACTCACAGAAATACCAGGTTTCATACCAACCAAGCAGTTCTGCCTCATTTTCTGTCACTGCCAACCAGTTCAATGAGATCTTGGGCCTTCACAGCCCCCCCGCACCTCCCCCACCTCCCAGCCCAACTTGTCAGCCCATCAGAGGGCCGGAGCTCTCCTCCTGGGAATGGAGCCGTCTCAGCCCCTTCCCAGGGCTCTCTGTGCGTCAGGATCCCTGCCCAGGTGCCAGCCACTGATATTAAAACACTCAGGTTTTGTTCTCTTCCCACTAATCCACCCAAATTAGCAATTCCACCAGCAGCGCGCCCAGCGGAGCCCCTCGGGCCACTCCACCGACAGCTGGATCACTGGACACACCGCACCATCCAGGTCCAGCGGCTTGTAAAAGGGCAGGAGTCTGCTGTGCGTGGCTGGGCGATGGCCCTGTGCTAGAACAGCCGGGGGAGGCCTGTGCCTCTGTATTAATGGAGCCACTAGAGTAAATGCCCTGGTGGGGGCTGAGCCCAGCCTGAGAGACCCGTTTTAAAGTGGGCCGGGAAGAAATAGGGACAGCCTTTGGAGGGGGGGGTCACCTGGTGCGCCTGTTCACGTCCTCATGGCCCCTGATGGGGGCTGGCCAGGGAGACTCTGGCAGCTTCCATCCCCACCGGCTGGCGGAGGGCCCGCTCTGCACTTACGCACCCGTGTGCCTCCCGTCACGGAGGAAACGCACAGCCTCCCAGTGCTGCCTCGTCCGCCCTAGCCCAGCCCTCACCGAGCCAGAGACTCAGTAAACACTTCCATTTCTCTGTGCTGGGAGGTGGGAATCCAATTTACAGTTTAATCTTCTGCACGCTGAGAGGGGCCGTCAAAGAGCTGACAGAGGGGGACGTTACTTTAGCGGTAGGGGTTCAAGCCTGCTGCCGTCTTTGAGGCTTTATTCTTTCTAAGTAGCCAGTGTTGGAAATTTCTGGAAAGGGGGCATGGAGCTGCCGAGCTATGTTGTCAGCACCCAGAGGCCCTGAAGCACCTCCTTCGGCACTGCCTGCTGAGAGTGAGCCATCTGCTTGCAGCCAGTTAGCGCCCGTGTCCCTGTCTCAGGTTGAAAGGGGACGACCCCTCGGAGCTGGTGACCACCCTGGACAAGGTGGTGTGCCTGGAGTCCACCCGCCCTCGCATGGGTGTCGGCTGCCGCCTGAGCCGTGCCCTGCTCACCGCAGTCACCCACGTGCTGATCTTCTTCTGGGGTAAGTGCGCAGCCTGCCCCAACACACACCCACGCACATACCACCTGCCACCCCCACCCCAGAGCCACGCTCAGGCCTGAGTGCTGAGCCAGAGACAGCTAGTCCCGGAGTCATGTCTGCCTGGTGACCCGAGGTCTAATAAGGCAGAGGACCTCTGCCCTGGGCCGTCCTTCCCTTGGGCAGTTGGAGGCCGACCTGGACGGAAAACTAGAAAATGTCCCTGGGTCAGGCAGGGCTGGGTGGGTGTTGCCTCTGCCAGGGCTCCGTGGGGGGTTGGCCTCACCTTACTCCATGGGCTGCAGGCCTGGGATCAAAGCAGGAAGGAAGCCCGAGTGCTGGGTGGCTGAGGAGGAGAGCCAGGCCTTGCCGCCTCCCCGCCACCCCCCCAACCCACATTGAATGTAGCCTTTGAGCAGAGGTCCCAGGGGACCTATGATGGTGAGAGGCCAAGTCACAGCAATGGCCAGCTCTCTAGTGATGGTGGGTGTTCCAAGTCACAGGTCACCTCGCCGGGGACCACAGTGATGGTCTATGGCAGCAGCTACAGATACAAAGGGCCTGGCACGTACATGCTCGCACACAAGGTGGGAGTGAGAACCCCAAATGTGATTGCTTAATAGTGCATCCTCACAGTGCACGCCTGCAGGCTGCCCACCTCACTGAATGCAGGCTCTGAATGCAGCTGGGGACAGACCGGCCACAACCTCCCTCATAGAGACTCACCTTCAGCAGAGGCCCCTGGGCATCTGAGTGACCAAGGGAGAGGTGGCACACTAATGGTGTCCTGTGTTCCCACTCAGGTTTGGCTTTCTTGTGGGGACTCCTCATCCTCCTGAAATACCGGTGGCGGAAGTTGGAAGAGGAGGAGCAGGCCATGTATGAGATGGTGAAGAAGATTATCGGTGCGTGACACCCCCACCCCCCGGGTGAAAGGCCCGCACGGATGCCTGCCCACAAGTCCCTGCCTCAGCAGTGTCCTCCCCCTGCAGATGTGGTCCAGGACCATTACGTGGACTGGGAGCAGGACATGGAGCGCTACCCGTATGTGGGCATCCTGCACGTGCGCGACACGCTGATCCCCCCGCAGAGCCGGTGAGTCCACCTGCCTTCACTGAGGCTGCAGGGAGTGGGGCCCGGGGGCTCTGGACGCTGCTGAGCTCCAAGGAGTCCCTGCCCCTTGGGTGCTGTGTGACCACGCCTAACTCGCTCGGCCTCTCTGGGCCTCATCCATAAAGCCCAGAGTCGTGAAGAGAAGTGGCTATTCTTCCACCTGCTCATTCACTTGCTCAGCAAGCGTGTCTGTAAGACGTGCTGTGTGCCAGGCCCCAGACTGGGCCCTGGGGAAGAGGAGAGAGGAAAACTCCCTGCCCTGTCTTGAGGGAGAGACAGATGACATAACAGTCAGTAGTGACCGGTCCTGAGGGAAGGCGGTGGGGGGACAGGGAGCCCCGGGGGGTGGCTCCGGTCAGTGCCTGGCACTTGAGTAGCCGTGACTGTTTGGACATAAATGATCTCTGACACATACTCTCACTCACATCAGGTGGCAGAGGACGGTGCCCTTGTTCACGGCCCAGTCACCCGCACCCCTCCCACCTGGGCACAGCAATGGCAGGGGCACCCTGGGCTGCCCCATGCTGCTCCTGAGGGAGGGGCAGGGGTCTTGCACACTTCCCATCCTGGGAAGCCCCCTTGTTGTTTCTGGCTCTCTACTTCTTGATTCATCTCCCAAGCCACCCAGCCCAGCCTCGCCCAGCTCTCGGCACTTGGGGACGCATTAGCTAGCTCGCGGCCCTGCGTGGGAACCTGGGCTGCTATCTGAGGGCTGTTTGGAGGAGATGGAGAGAGATTGCAAGAGCTTGTTTCCTGTGAAAAGCAGGGAGCTGATTAGAACAGCTGGCTCCTGGAGGCTTGTTCATTACCTGTTAATGGGCAGCTCTGGAAGGAGGGGCCGGCTCAGACCCGCCTGCCTGCAGCGCAGTGGGCATCCTTGTCCCTCAGTCGGCCCTCAGTGAGGGTGTGGCCTTGGCAAAAAGTGGGGGCTGGCTGTTCACCAGGCTGTAGGGTCGGGTGGTGACAGGCCTCAGGCCAGGAGGGAGAAAAGCCCCCCTTGACTTAGCTGTTGGACTCCCCTGCCCCCGCCTATCCAAGCTTCCCCCCACCCTGGGGCCATGCAAGGCTGAGAAAAGGCTGGGGTGCACAGGCAACAAAATGACCCCCCTAGAGTCCCTGCAGCAACCCCGTCTCCTCGGCAAGGCCTGTCCTGCTGCTCTGCTTCTGCAGAGGGGCTCCTGCAGCCTGGCCTCCACAGTCGGGGTGAGCACTCTACAGCCGTGGTCACGCTTTAATGAGCCCGCATGGGGCATCAAAACGCAGCCAGCTCCTGGTGAGGGCAGCTGCATCACAGGTGCCTTCCAGAGCCGCCCCGCCCAGCAGGCCCTCACGTGGCAAGCTGCAGGCACCTCCTTCTGCTCCTTTAATTGAACGCTCTGGAAGCCAGAGCTGCGGCACCCTTTCTTCCCCGCCCAAGTGCCTCCGCGTCTCCCCTGGATCAAGCCTGCGCAGGCGCTTGTACTACGAAGGGCTGGGTCCACGGCCCCTGGCCTCTGCGGTGCAGGGCAGGCGCTGTGAGCCGCCTCTCCTTGCAGGCGGCGCCTGAAGCGGGTCTGGGACCGAGCCGTGGAGTTCCTGGCCTCCAACGAGTCCCGCATCCAGACAGAGTCGCACCGCGTGGCCGGAGAGGACATGCTGGTGTGGAGATGGACTAAGCCCTCGTCCTTCTCGGACTCGGAGCGATAAACGCGGGGAGGGGCCTGTTCCCAGCCCGCCCGTCCCCCCGGACAGCCCACTCCAGGGGCGAGAGGGCCACCAGCCCAACCGGTGCTGAATTCACACTTGCCTTGACTTCATCCCCTCCGACTCCGACCCCCAGGGTCTCCCTGGAGGATGGGCGCTTCCTGCAAGGTCGGAGCTGAGCGGAGGCGGTGCCGGCAGGAAGGGGGAGGGCCTGTGGGTCCCCCGCCAGCTGGCCCAGGGCTGGGGCCGTAACACCGGAGCAAGTGTGGCCGTCCGCGGGCAGTGGGGCGGGCCAAGGACGGGCAGCAGGGTGGGGCGGAGCTGGGTATCTGTGCCTTCATAGGGGTTACTGGGAGCTTTAGGGTGAGGGGAGGAAGCCGGTCTTCTGGCTGGGTGGGGCCTCTTTTGTCCGAAGGACGGGACGGGATGCTAGGAACTAGAAACGGAGCGGAGAACTGCCTGCAAAGAGCCTGGCGGGCAGGGTCCTCCGGTCAGGTGGGTGAACCCGGGCGGAAGCGGGGGTGGGGTCGGGGCCTGGGAGCCCAGCGGAGGGTCGGGGCTGCCCGCAGCCTCCCAGCGAGGCCCTACATGGTGCTTCTCACCAACGCCACCGCCGGACCTGTGCGTGCTGGCCTTGCACACCGTCGGGAATGCCTTTGACGGCGGCCACAGCACCCCCCCTCCCTGCGCCGCGCTGAGGCGGGGTCGTGGTGCGGGCTCCGCCGCTCCCGCAGAGGCGGGCGTCTGCCTCCAGACGATGTGGCCACCCCTCTCCCGTCTGAGTGTTTCTTTGGTTTCCTGAATAAAGCGCCCGTCTCGGCCATTGTAGCAATGCAATACTCTGTCACTTCCTCTGATGTCTGGGATCCGCAGGGCTGGACTCTGAGCGCCGGCCGGCCAGCAGGCCGCCCGCAGCCAAGAGCTCTTCTCACCAACAGTACGGGCGTGGAAAGCCACTGATGAATAAACTATTTATTAAAAGTCCATGTGTCTCTTGTCTCCTTTTGCTCCAGAGCAGTGTTTAAGAAATGGCCTTGGGAGGAGGGTAGGTAGCTCCAGGGACTGGGTGGCCCTTCTTACAGCGCGCGGTCATTGCCGGTGGGTGGCGTGGATAGAAGCTCTGGCCGTTTATGCCGCCTGGTGAGAGCTCGAAATCTCCTGGGGCTCGGCCCTGGGAGGGGGCACAGTGGGCCCCGGGCGCGGGTGCATTGACTGGGAAGGGGGGTGTTGCAGCCATCTTGTCCCATCAGAGCCCCACCCACGGGAGGGAAAGAAGCCTAACCACCATGCCCCCTCCCCATGTATCCTGCAGACCCCCAGCTCTGCCGCTACTGAGAGGCCAGTGGCCAAGGTGTGTCAGGATTCCCGAGAACTGCAGGCATGTGAAATTGGCACCCAGCTCAGGCAGATGCCCAGTCTCGGTTTGTGACCCATGCACATGGGCCCCAACTGTGCGCGCTGACGCACCAAACTCAGCGGGTAAACGGACCAACAAAAAGCACCCAGAGAAGAATGAGGCCGGCCCTCCTTGTCTAGGACGCAGCGAGGGCCCCTCCCTCGCCCAGAAGGGAGCTCAGACAGGCCTGTGCGTCTGCAGCCCTGTTTGGAAAGCAGACGCAGATCAAAATACCAGGAACGCGCCAACAAAGGCCCCGCCGCCTGCTCCCCTTCCGGTGCGCCGAGACCAGGCTCAGCCTCCGCTGCGGACCTTAGCTTTGAAGGGCCCTGTCTAAGCAGCTTTTAGCTCACCAGGGAAATGGTGTGTTTGCGCGGGTGGGAGGGAGCCTGCCCGGGGATGGGGTCTGAGAGCATATTTTGGATGGACGCTATGGTTGGGGTGTTTCAGCTGCTCGCCCCAAATCCCTTTCATCTGCTCCCCAGTGCGGCAGACCTGCCTCTCCTTGGTGACAAACAGCCTCCCGGACCTCGGTGGGCACCCATAAAGCAGCACTGGTGTCGAGGGAAGGAGAGGTTGGACCTCACCAATCTCAGACATGTACATCCAGCCAAGGCCTCCAGGCTACCTTCTGAGTTTCTGTGGGGGTGCGGTGGGGGGGGAGGTAAACACGGCTATTTGTCACTGACTTATCATAAGAAATGCAGTAGCAGCTGCTCCCCCTTAATTAATACACCATTGACTTTGAGCCTCGGAAAAATTAAAAATAAGTTGTTGTTTTTAAATCCCTTCATTGCAGCAGGTGTGTGGACTCAAATCCATTATCCTGTCGGCCTCCCCCGAAGGGGGAAATAAGTTAACCCAAAAGCTAGCTCCTCTGGACAGCTGTTACAGAGACCCAAAGGAGGGCCCCTCCGCTGGGCCAGAGAGAAGAGAGGTGGGAGGGAACTAGGGAGGGGCAACAGGACCCCAGGGGCCCATGGCATCACCTGACATGCACCTGTGGGCAGCATGCACTCCTGGGGGGCATGGAGTGACGTGGAGGTTGGGAGCCCAGCGCCCTCGGGGCTGGCTCTGCCCTGTATGGGCTGAGGACCGCGGGCAAGTCACTGTCTCTGGTGCAGGAGAGCGATTAGGAAAGAAGTCGGCAGCCAACAAGCGATGCAGTTTGACGCAGTTTGACACGCTGCACTCCCCCCGGTGCTACAGCCACCTCGCCACAGCCTCCTGAAGTAGATGCAGCTGTGACTCCCTTCCTAGAAGGGAGGAAACCAAGGCACGGGCGGCCAGGTGGTGGGGCTGGGGTTTGAATCCAGACAGCCTGGCCTGGAGCCCAAGTTCTTACCCCTTGACTTTTTCAAAGAAAGGCAGAGGGAGGCCAAGGCTGTCTCCCGTTCCGGGCGCTGCACGTTGCCAGGACAGAAGCAAAGAGCTGCACGAGGCTTTGGGGAGGCTCGCTGTGCTTGGCACCCCATCCCGGGAGTTCTTGGGCTCCAGCCCCCTCCACTCTCCCATAGCTCCCTCCTTACTGCCCTCACCCACCCAAGGTCTCTGAGCCATTGCACTTGCTGACCCAGCTGCCCACGCCTCACCTCCCTGGATCTCCACCAGGCTCATTCCCTTGCCTTCTTCCGGTCCGATCCGTCATCGCCACCCACTGGAGGAATACAGACTTTCTCCCACGGTCTTGCGATTCCGACAAAGTGACCGGGTTGCTGCTGCTGTGAGGTGGCATCCAGTGCATTCGACCCAAGCGCGCCTGTGTGCGACCGGAAGGCACCACTGCCCAGCCCTGCGCCACCCTCGCCATGCTCAGGCGTGAGCCCCTGCTGCAACCCTGTGTCGGCGCATCTCCTGGGGGGACTTCGACTTTCCACGGCCCCTCCCTGCCAAGCTTGATGACCTCTGCGGGGGGCTGGCCAATAACGTGTGCAAAGGGCTTGAGGCAAAGCCTCGCCAGCTTTGCTTCTGAGGAGCATTCTGGCTGGACTTCTTCCAGGACACAGTTGTCTGTCCTTTGGGCAGTCCCTGGTGCTTTGCAGTCTTGGCCAACACCGTCATTCAGATGCATGGATTCTTCTTTGCCTGAGCCAATGTCCAACGTTCACAGGTATATGGGGCAACCGAAACTACCCTGGCTCGGGTCAGGTGCCCCCTAGTCCTCAAAGGCACACCCTTGTTCTTTAAAGAGGACACACACCCCCACCCCCACCCCACCCACCCCCATCAGGCAGACCTGTCCAGGACAATTTGTTGTGTGACATCTTGCTACTTCCGGGAGCACTGGCTCTGGCTCCAAGTGAGAAGACATCATCACCCTTGACCCCATTTATCTCGATGTCACATTGGTCCAGCTGTGACGAGGTTGGTCTTCTGCACATGGAGTGCCATCCAGCCTGCAGACCGCAATCCTTCACCTTCATCCGCAAACGCTTCAAGGGCTCCTCACTTTCAGCAAGCAGCTGGGTGGGCGGGGCTGTGCAAATGACGTGCGTGTGGCCCATCAAAGGGAGTGAACATCTTGCTCATCATGCAAATGAGGGGCATGGAACCCCTATGGGAGTGGTACCATGCAAATCAGGTGCATGGAACTTGGAAAAAGGGGACTGATGAGTTTTGCCAACCTGCTAGACTTAAAGGAGAACCCATCCCAGAGCAAAGGAAAGGCTTCACTACTACCAAGAAAGAGCCAGGAGGGGAGCAGATCATTTGAACTTGGGGTCCCTGCCCTGAGAACCACCTAGACCCAGGAGGCAGAGAGGGAGCTGGAATACCAGCGATGGCAAGAAGTGGCAATCGGCCCAGCAGCGCCCAGTGGGAGCAGCGGCGGCGGCAGGAGATGGGGTGGCAGGCTTCCCAGCCCCCAGGGAGAGAGAGCTAAGCACCTCAGTCAGGAGGCTTGCCGGCCCCACTGCAGGAGCCAGGCTTACTGACCCACAGAGCAAGAAAACTGGGGGCCAAGGTTTACTGGAGGAGTGGGTGCCACTGGGCACTTACCAGTGGAGCTTAAGAGCTTTTAAAACACTTGTCTGACCAAGACAGGGGTAGGACCAGCCCAAGGGACTGAGGTGCCAAAACAGACCTTCCTGCAGGCAGGGCCAAGAAGCTGTGCTTACCAAAGAACTGGATCCAGAGTCACTCCTGACCCTGAGCCGCATGTAACCCTTCCCTTCCCTAGGAGACCCCATACTTACAATAACTGTTACCTGTGAGGTCCACGGGGCCAAGGAATGATCAAATCCAGGCAGCCCAGCCTTGTGTGTCAAGACACTTGACCTCGCTGAGCCGTCTCACTGCCGCCACTGCCCCGGTCAGCTCTATGTGGCTGTAACCCCGCTCTGCTATCTGGCTGTCCCCCGGCACTTAACCCAGCGCTCTGCACATTGCGTGCGGGTGCTCCAGGGAAGGCCCGTGAGTGGACGGATGGAAATGCCCCACGGATGGAAATGCCCAGAAGGAGGGGAGCCCAGCGTTGGAATCACTAAGGACAGAACACTTCCAGAACCTCCTTTCCAGCCTTGATTTTGTTTGGTCAGCATCTCTTTCTGTCCCCCCACCCTTTTTCATTTGAACGCCTTGAGGCACAGCACCCACTCCCTGGTCATAGCCCCAAGGCTCCTACCCCCCACCCACGGGTCAGCAGCAGCCACACTGCGACCAGCCTGGGCTGTGTGAGGTGGCAGGGCTCTCCCAAAGGAGAGAACAGGGTGCCGGCATTCCTGGGCAGGAGCTGATGTGTTTGCAGGATTTCCCCGGCTTTATTCCCTAACTGATCACAGAGGAATCTGGAAAGCGGGTGTTCCACGGTAGGAAAGCCTCCACTTTGGCCAGTTAGAGATCAAGTCCAAGCGCATTATCCTGCTTTAAGTATCGTTCCCACGGACTCTCCCCTAACAGCTGTGCTGCCTTAAAGTGAGCACATGGTGATGTGGTCTCCCTACAGAAGCAGCCATCTTCTCTTTCCACCTTGTCACCCCGCCCCTCTCACACCTTCCCCCAGATGCAGGTATTAGGGTTCCTCACCTGTGAGCTCAGGGGCCTTCCTGTAGATTCCACCCACCCTGTGACATATGTAACTAGTGCATGTGCATGTCTCGTGGCTACCTATAAATAGCCCAAAGGCTCTCTTCTCCCATCTCTATGTGGACCACCAAGAGGGGCTGAGGTGAGCGTGCTACCATGAAATGTGTCTGACTCCCTTATTACACTCTCCTATCGTTCCTATCCTCTAAGCCTTTACTGTAATCTTTATATATTGTACCCGTACAATTGCGCCTAGTGACCCTTCGGCTGTTAGAGGCTGGCTTCCTCTGACACCAGACAAGCCTGGCATTTGTGTGGGACCCTGGTCAGAGAGACCCTCTGCCCTCAGTGACCCACCTATAATTTCTCACCAACGCTACTGAGCAAGAGCCAGTTACCCTAATTGCTCAAGAACTGCACCCGTTCTTCAGGGGCCAGTTCATTGTTGCGGTCCCCGCCAGGCCATTGGAAGTGACCGTCTCCACACCGCAGTGGCATGAGGAGGCAGCCCAGGAAAGGGGTGCCCGCCAAGGACGTAGGCCAAGGAAGTGGCTGGGCTGCCGGG